ATATATATATATGTAATCTGCTTTGTTATGTTTTATTGCATAAATTAAGCATCAAATAAATGAATTCCAGTGTATAAAAGCACAACAACTTTGGGTTTTGTGGGAGGATTATTTGTACACGTCCATGATGATCTCCTTATGACTTACATAATGCCTGTTTTTGCTTTTAAATGTATGTAATGGGGTATCCCAATTTCATATTAATGAATTATTTACCAAAAATAATCTTGAGTCAAATAAATTTATCCAAGGAAAAAGGATTGTGTGAGTTAAATGTAAATTATATAGCAAGATTTGCTTTTTTAAAAATATCATGGACTTGAATGGATGTTTATTTTTTTTTAATTTAAGTCATCTATAATGACAAATATAACAGTATTAAAAAAATTATATTATTTATTGATGATCAATACTGGATCTGCTCTCCACTCGTTTATCCAATCGACAGGAGCTGAAGAGCAAGAGAAAACAGCTAAAGAAGGCTGGGAAATGCCTAACAAGAGCAGGCTCGTGAGGACAGCAAGATCTTTGGTGGTGATGCTACAAATTTTGTGGGCATATATGATATTGAGTCTTGCCCATTGGTTCAAGGACGTGGAAGAAGCAGTAGGTATAAAGATCACTGGAACCAATCACTTTACTATATTGCATCAATAGAGTGGGTTAGAATTTCATGGAAGCTACTGTCATCAAACGAAACGTCCCTGAAAGTGAGCAAATGTTGGCCTATATGAGACGCATGAGGGAGATGGCTGTTTCAGCACAGCTTCATCAGTAGCTTCAAAGCTACCTCCTGGAAATTTGATTGAAAGTTTACTTCATCCTGGACTCTTGTTTCTCACTTTTGTCCATTTTTGAACAAACAAAAGTAAGGTGCCCAAGTTACTTCTTCCTAAATTTCTCCTTTACCCATATTACTCCATCCCTTGAAAAGAAGACGCGCACCTAATCCGCGCTCCGTACGTTAAGGGCTTCAAAATTTGTGTTCTATTTTCTTTTAGTTTGAGATTACATATTTTAAATAAAATATTTGAAAAAAATTTGAATTATTTAAAAATTTTAAATAAATTTTTATTTTTTTATTACATTCAATTAAATTATTATATTTTTATTTTAGATCAAATTAATAAATTTTTAAAACTAATACT